TTCCTTCCTTCCTTCCTTCCTTCCTTCCTTCCTTCCTTCCTTCCTTTTTCCTTTTCACTCTCTCCCTCCCTCTCTCTCATTATAACTCTGCTTCCTTTGTGGAAAGACATAGACATTATTACTCTGCAAATGAATTTGGACTGAGTCTTTGCTAGGAGATTTCTGCTCATCCTCTCATGCTTGACTCTGCCCCATAGAGAATATTGTTCTTGGAAGTAAATGCAGCTGTACACATCTGGTCTCAACAGCCCAAGTGCATTTGGAAGAAACACCATGCTTGACTCACAAGGTTGGCATCAGCAACGCCACACCCACAAATCTTTGCCTACTTCTGGCAAAAGAGGACATCTGATGAACATCTGGTCCACCAATAGAGAACCAAGCTACGTAGTAGAAGAAATACTTGTCCAGGCACACGTATTATTCCAATAATATGATCCAGGCTTTGTGGTCCAAATGAGAATCATTCTTCATCTAGATGGGAATGGTGGACCAAATTGACACAAAGGCTGGTCTTTTGACAAATTTGGAACCATATGGATTGTTTCTGGCTGAAATTCATGCCATCATCTACCTTTCTGATAGGCGTCCTTCATTCCATGTCCAACCATTTTGAGAATGGCCCATTATGCATGCACCCCTATGTTGCCATCCTATTTTTGATACAATATTATATTATTTAATATGCGCCCAAATCCTATTGTTTCCTCCAAGAACACAAGATAGCCTACTTTGTTTTTCTTGCACAATACTGCACCGAAGTCAGTTAGTCTAAAAGAAATGGAAATTGGCTCAAATGGATGTATTTATTTATTTATTGGATGTATTTATTTATTTATTATTTATTTCTTTGTTGGGTTTATTGGATTTATATGTTCATTTTTTTACTGGGTTTATATGGCTGCCCACTCACTGTCAGTGACTGTGTGGCTGACAAACAATCTTCCTTGCAAAAGACTTTGAAAATGGATCTATCCAGGTTTGATCTGAAACATAATTAGACTGTATGGGATTGCTAACTACAATCCCATAGATTTCTACATTTTTATCTCAGCCTTCCAGGGAAGGGAAGGGAAGGGAAGGGAAGGGAAGGGAAGGAGGATGAGGGAGGTGGAAGGGAAGAGAAGGGAAGAAAAAAGAAAGAAAAGAAGGATGGGAAGTAAGGGAGATGGGAAGAAAAAAAGAAAAAAGGAGAAGAAAGGGGAAGGGAGAGAAGGGAAGGGAAGGAAGATGGGAAGGAAGAAAAGAAAAAAAAGAAGAAAAGGTGAGAGAAGGGAAGAAAAAAGAAAGGGGAGAAGGAAGGGAAGGGAATGAAAGGAGGGTGAGGGAGGGGAAAGGGAAGGGAAGAGAAGGGAAGAAAAGAGAAAGAAAAGAAAGGGGGAAGGAGAGGGAAGGGAAGGGAATGAGGATGAGGGATGGGAAAGAGAAAGGAAGAGATCAGGGAAGAAAAGAGAAAGAAAAAAGAGTGAAGGGAGATGGGATGGAAAGAAAGAAAAAAGAAAGAGAAGAAAGGGGGAAGGAGAGGGAAGGGAAGGAGGATGAGGGAGGGGAAAGGAAAGGGAAGAGAAGGGAAGAAAAGAGAAAGAAAAGGAAGGGGGAAGGGGAGGGAAGGGAAGGGTTAGGGAAGGGAAGGGAAGTCAAGTGAAGGGGAAGGGGAGGGGAGGAGGAATAGTTTAAAGTAAAGCGAATGTTCTACATATAATTGCCTCTCTCAGAATATAAGCCTTGATACTTATCCAGGCTTCTAGCTTTGAACAATTACATTCATCAATTTAAAAGGACAAGTCTTAAAAAGAGGAACAAACATCCCCCTTTGATTAATCAGTCCAGCTCGGAATAAGACAACGATGTATCATTCACAAAGGGAGAAAACTGCTTCGGGGTCCCAAGTTTTCCTCGTTCCCTTTTTTTGCCACAATGATGAAAAAGAAACTAATTGTCACTGCCCATTTGGCAGCCAAACTCCCCAAATATTTTTTTTTTAAAAAAAGTTCTTTCAACTAAAACAAGTCTAAAGTTTGAGAGACGCACATAGGAACGGAGGGGCGGGGGGGAGGAAAGAAAAGAAAAGATCATTGGAGATTCGATACTCACTCTGATGTTCCGTCCCAAAAGGCTTAAAATCTAAGGTCAGAGATGGTCTCCATGGATAGGATTCCAGAAGTCCATCCAAAACTCCTCTGCAACAGGACAGTTGGAAATTAGATTTGCATTCCCATGGAACAAGGCCATTGGGAGAGGAACTTGAAGCAGATGTCTAGAGCTTCATTCATAAGAATAAGCACACGGGTGGGTTTAGCTGCATTTTGGGGGGGTCAAAGTGAAGTAATAAGGAACAAATCTCTCTCTCTATAAAAGCGAAATGCCCCTCACGCATCATCACAAAATCTCCAGAACCGTAAAGCCTACAAACTTGAAATCTGACACGTAGGGTCCTTTTGGCTTCTAGGTACTAAGAAAGAGGTTTTTTTGAAATGACCATCACGGCATTAATATTTCCTATATTATTATTATTAACGGGCTCTGATGCTAAGGTGTTCTACTCCCCTTCCCCACCTGAAAAGAAATTCGTTCCAAATGCAAAACATAAGCAGAAGAGAGGCGTTTCAGTTTTAGTTTCATAGCACCAAGCAGCTTTAGTACAGAACAGTTGAGTTAAGCCACACCCAGGCTCCTTGCTGTCTTCTCCTTGCTCACACAGCAAATACCGTTTCAGTTTCCAAACAGCCTTCAAGTCTCTCACACACTGACAGGACGTTAGCCAGAGGAATAATGATGGATGCTGATAGGCAGAGGCACAATTTTCCCCCCTTATTTTCCTCCACCAGAACGAAGCCCGATCACATAGTTTCGTAGCGAAGCAGGAGTTTCGAGCTAATTCCTATATAGCCTCAAACCGTAATATCTGTGCCTTCTTCCTTGCATCTCTGCCAGTCAACTAAGATCTAGAGGAAATGCCCAATTCAGGACTCCTGGGGACCCAGAAATCCAGAAGAGGCATTGTTTGAATATACAATTTTGTAGAGGTGCTTTTTTTTTTTCAAAAGGCAACTGGACTTTTTTGGGTTTTTTTCCTTGAAGATGTTTTGCTTTTCATCCAAGAAGCTTCTTCAGTTCTGACTGAATGGTGGAGACTGGAAAGATTTATATTCCTTGCAGTCACCTGGTCATTAGCACTCTCTCTGAGAGTCACTGAGGCCAATTGAAGATTAATCTGTGCCCTCAGGGTCACTGAAACAGTGCAAATGGATGTGGAACCTTCTTGGAACTGGTGAAAGGATCGTGTTGTAAACAAGAGATCGGTGGTGTTGTATCCCTCCCTGCCTCTGTTGAGAAAGGGCTGCTCAATTTTAATGTAGATGGCCTCTTTGAGCTCTCTTTTATGGGTTCCATCTATGTCCCCACATTGTGGCCAATCTCTATACATGGAAGAGGTAGAAACCAAAGCCCTAAACTCCTTCACAAGAATTCCACCCAGGTGTTAAAAAGGAAATTTGAGAAGGATATTCCCTTCCAAAGAGAGAGAAAGATTTTTATGCACAGGACCGCCTATTACAACACACTTTTGTACAGGAATGCTTGTATGCATTCCTGCATATGCGTCACGTGACAATATTATATATTATATAATAGATTATAATAATATGCCCCGATCCTATTTCTGTGAAAGGAAAGCAAAAAGGAGATAATATATATCAAATCCAAGTAAGCTTTATTATGATCACAGATCAGCCTAATTTGACATCTTTTTTTAGCACTAGCCAAAGCACTTAGACTTCACAGTACTTTACAGCCCTGTCTAAGCAGTTCACAGAGTCAGCCTCTTGCCCCCAACAATCTGGCTCCTCGTTTTACCGACCTCGGAAGGATAGAAGGCCGAGTCAACCTTGAGCCGGTCAGGATCGAACTGCTGGCAAGTCGGCAGAGTTAGTGTGCAATTCTGCACCACCACATCTTTCTAACCTAATAACTATTGTTGTTTTTATTGCTTGTATTCAGTGTTATTGTTCAGATCCAATGTCCAAAATGTACTTGCTGAACTAAAAAAAAATAGCAATTGTCTTCAAAGTCAAGACATACCTGCATTGTTTCCTAGAAATTGTCATTAATGACAATGGCTTGTAGCTTTTCAATTTCCCCAGGATAATTTGAAGGCACCATTAAAACAGAATATCCTGGGGAAACTGAAAAGCTATAGGCCATTGTCATTAATGATGACATATTTATGTTTTTTTTTTCATAGTGCAGGCAATTAATGCACAAAAACATGTACTTTTGTCCATTTAAAAGTCTTTAAATAATCCATAGTTCCATCAGTCAAATAACTGCATTTTTTTTTACCTGTTTCTTCCAGGGTCTCTAAATCCTTTAGCAAAGGGATTCCGGTCAATCTTCAGTTTTGTTATCTATGGATGTTTTGCAGACAAACAACAAAGGAAGAACTGTGAATATCATACTTGTCACCCATCTGCTCCCAAAAAACCTGCTTGTACCTCTGGGCAGGTTAATTTACCTGCTGGTTTTGATAGGCGGTGACAGTTGTAAATTCGGTTTCTTTAAAAGAAAAGGTCTGAACACCAGCTGCAGGCAAAGATGGGGTCTGGGAAAGATCAAATCGGGAATCCTGGATAATAATGTGGACTCTGGGCTTGTATTTGTGCATTGATTGCAAAATTATCTGTAGTCCACAGAGAAACAGAGAGAAAGAAGAGGAAAAACAATCAGAAAAAGTGAACGTTATCATTCTTAAACTTGGATATTTTTTTTAAAAAAAAATTCTACCTTGAGCTTGGTGATTTAGGAACAATCCTCATTAGATTTGCCTTAAGAACAACAAAGATTATTAAGAGCCTGGAGGCTAAAACATACAAAGACCGGTTGCAGGAATTGGGTATGTTTAGTCTAGGGAAAAGAAAGACATGGGGAAACATGATAGCAGTGTTCCAATATCTCAGGGGCTGCCTCAAAGAAGAGGGGGAGTCAATGTATTCTCCAAAGCACCTGAAGGCAGGACAAGAAGCACTGGGTGGAAACTAATCAAGGAGAAAAGCAACTTAGAATTAAGGAGAAGGGGCTGCCTCCGGAAGTTGTGAATGCTCCAACACTGGTGGTTTTTAAGAAGAGACTGGACAATGATTTGTCTGAAATGGTAGAGGGTTTCCTGTTTGTGCAGGGGGTTGGACTAGAAGACCTCCAAGGTCCCTTCCAACTCTGTTGTTCTATATTCTAACAACTGTGGCAAGAAAGCTTGTAAAATGGGCCAAAACTCATTTAACAGGCGTCTTGCTGGCCATTTTGGTCTCAGTTGTGGTTGTGAGCCAAGGACTACCTGTTATAGAATATAAGTCACAGAAACTAATAGTTTCACTATATTCTATCTTGGACAAGATCCCTTCTGACTCTGTTATTCTATAATTTAATACGAGTTCAACCACTTGAACAATCTGAAATTTGGGTGATGAAAGGCCCAATTTTCCTTGTGGTTGGCACTAATGAGGTCTAGTCTAGGACTAAAAAGCCAGAGAGAAATTGTAACTCAAATTTCCATGCCCTCGAAAGAGTGTTTGGTTTTCTTTTTCACCAGAAAACAAGATGGCTGTTGGCAGCTTTAAAAAGATCCCCACCCTTTTTTCCATGAAAAAGATATTAATAATAATACACTCTACTTGATCTTATAGTGCAGCTAATAAATAACTAGTAAGCGAATCATAAGCTTATTTATTTATGAGATTTGTTTCCTGCCCCTCTTGCCTCACCTGTGGCACATCAAAGATTTTCCTGTTTGGGGAGAGATAAAAATACTGGTATCCAAGCCAAGGTATGTTTTACAGACAGCTAAGTTGTTTGGGCATCAGTAGCAAAAATCGGATTCTCACGATCCCTCTTTATCTGACATAAAAATCAAAATTGATTTTCTCTATTTTTATCACACCCAAAATCTATTTCCAAGGTGAAGATCAAATCCAGGCTGCAAAATCCAGTTTGTCACTAGATGGCAGCAAAAATACTGGCCCTTTGCTGCCACCTTGTGGTCATCTGAGTTTTGTGGCTAATTCTTCCCTCCCTCCCTCCACCCCCTCCTTTCCTTTCTTCCTTCCTTCCCTCTCACTCACCTCCCTCCCTCCCTTCCCTCTTCCCTTCCCCCCTTCCTTCCTCCCTTCATCCCTCCATCCCTCCCTCTCACCCACCCTCCTTCCTTCCTTCCTCTCCCTCCCTCTGTCCCTTCTTCTTCCCTTCTTCCTTGCTTTGTCTCCTCCCTCCCTTCTTCCTTCCCTCCCTTCCTCCTTCCCTCCCTCCTTCCTTCCTCCCTCTCCATCACTTCTTTTCTCCCTCCCTCCCTCCTTTCTTTCCTTCCTTCCTTACTCCCCTCCCTACTTCCGCCTCTCTCCCTTCCTCCCTTCCCTCTTCTACTAAGTCTCCCAAGGCAGCCATCTTGCTCTAGCTATGGATAGAGCTGGCCCTACTTTCTTCCCTTATCCTCCCTTCCTGTAAAGTAGCAACTTCAAATCCACACCTACATGCCCTTTGTCGTCCATCTCATTGTTGGTTAGCTTCACCCGATCGAAGCTGATGATCTGCCTCATCCACGTCTCTCCCGAACAGGGGGAATCCGGGTGGATATAAAGCCGAGGTGTGATGCACGAATGGTCCGTGTTTCCCGCCACCATCCACTGCGAGCTGTGATAGACATACCTGCCAAAGGGAACAAGGGTTAGAGCAAACCCAATCGGTTGCCACCGCTGTTTTTGTTGAGTAAGACACAATTGGCTGGTTTTACACCACCACTATTAAGCCACGAATTGCAGCTTAAAAGCCACAATAGGATTCATGTGCCAAAAATTACATCAGTCATGTTACAGCTTAACATATGCGAAACTAAAATACTAAGTCTTGAGCCCAGGACTTCCAATTAGCTTTGGAAATGAGTTCACCATATTTTACTCTCCACTATATAACAGCAATCAGTATTATTTACGCATTGGAAGTCAGGCTAATCATTCATAGTCCACTTAATCAACTAATCTTTCCTTCTTGCTTTCTGTATTCCGCATTCCCAGGATTTGAACAATCCAAGTGTTGCTTGCAATAACCTCTGCTGTGTGCATAGGTTTTGCAGGTTTGTTGCTGCTTCGCTTCTTTTCACGCTTAGCTTGGCTAAGCTCATGGCTCTATCTCAGTCCCAAATTCGGGGGGAAGACAGAGGTCTCAATGTTGGGTGGACAAAGCTCTTAGGACTTTTCCACTCTTTCCTTCTTTCTTCCTTTGGGCACTTGGACGTGGGGAAGGGGGAAGGCTGGAGAAAGAGAAAGAAAGAGAAAGAGAAAAAGAGAAAGGGAACTTGTAGCTAAAACTCTTCAAACTTTCCAAAGTCCCAGGGACTTTTTCCACTCTCTGCCAATTGATGTTTGTGATCAAAGGCCTTTTCCCTCGCTCAAGGGGAGCTATAAGAAGAGCAGAAGGACTGACCATTTGCATAGTTTGATAACTGCTTTGGTTTTCAATCTGTTCAGAGTCGGTGAGACTCAGGAAGAATCTAATTAAGTTACAGCTGGAAATTATTGTTTCAAATTCCAGCTCTGTGTTGAAGTTACTTAGAAGTAACTGCCCGTCTGTTTTGCCGGTGTGTAGAAAAGATGATTGAAAGGGGATACAAATGTTTTACAAATGTTGTATTCAATCACAAAATCAACTAGGGGGAGACATGAAGGTGAAGATATGCTTAAACTACAGAGGTTCAGGAGCCGAAAAAGGACGAAGCCCCAAAGCAAATCTTTTTTTAAAATGTATGCAGCATTTAATTGTATTTGTCATTTGATTTAATCATATCCAGAAACAACAGAATACCGAGCTGTACACTCACAATTCAAGGTAATAATAAAGTATATATAAACATATAGATACTTTATATATAAAGGATATAAAAGTATACAAAAAAAAAGTATATAGAAAAATAAATTTGCCTCAAAGCAAATTCTTGTGAGTTGTGTGCCCTTTGCTTTGCTCCCAGCATCTCACTGAAGGTCTGGTTCGTATGGACAAGGAGAAACTTCCTTTTTATGGGCAACTAAAGGAGAGGACTATTCTCTAGATCTAATGTCTCCAAGAGGAACAGGCAGACTCATTCTCAAATTTTCCCCACTTGAAACCTTGACTTGTCTGAACTGATTTCAACCTAAAACCTTCTATAAATTTTCATTCATTCAGAAAGGGGAAGGAAGGAAGGAACTAAGAAGGAAGGGAGGAACTAAGGAAGGAATTAAGGAAGGGAGGAAGGGAGGAAGGAAGGAAGGAAGGAAGGAAGGAAGGAACTAAGAAGGAAGGAAGGAGGAAAATAAGGAAGGTAGGAAGGAACTAAGGAAGGAACTAAGGAAGAAAATAAGGAAGGAAGGAAGGAAGGAAGGAAGGAAGGAAGGAAGGAAGGAAG